TGCCCCCAGGAGCAGCGAGACCCCCTCAGATCCAGGAATGTCTCCTGTTGTCATGGTGGACTGGAGCAGTTAGGTCCAGTGTCCTAAGAAGCAGCTTGCTGAGGGAGGAGGAGACCCTGCAGCGCGGGGCGGTGGGAGCAGGGCCATGCGACGGGCAGCTGCAGTGGCAGATGCAGCCGGCGAGCGCGTGCGAGACTGGGGCGCTGCAGGGCAGCGGGCTGTGCCCCTCTCCCCATGTTCCCCAGTACTGCCCCACTGGCCGCAGGAGAAGCCATGGGGCAGGGGGTGAGGGGACGGGCGCTGGTGGAAGAGTGGCCCTCGCATGCGGGGCTTGTGTCGCGGTGGCTCTGCTCTGCAAACTGCCCTGGTTAGGCAGCGGCGGGAGCCACGGCCCCGCTGCCAGGCCTGCTGCAGGCAGGATTTCCTCTGGCCACGGAGCAGAGCTTGTGCAAACAAGAGCCCAGCGATCAGCAGGGGAGCTACACCAGCTCAGAGATGCTGCAGTGCTTCTGGTTTCTTCCAGTCTTAAGCTGTTTAAACCACTACTAAATTAACAGTAGTTAATGCCATGCCATTCTCTGGATGGCTTTTGGGCTTTGCATTGTTGATGCAACTCTCCATTTCATTATTTGTTGTTTGACACAAGTTGTTATTTTTACTCATTTCCCGTCTTTGCAGATTGACGTGGTTAGCATGACTGCAGGTGGTGATACGGTTTTGACCCAGATTCAGCTTGTTCTGTATGGAAGAAGGGGGTTTGGAGTAGAGGTTGGCTTTGCCTTTGCTTTGCCAAGGCTTGGGTACAGCTCTCACACAGGTTATCAGGACTGACTTGAAAGAATTTGCCTACGTAATAGAAATACGTCTCTGCTACCTTGAAAGGCCAGAATGCGTGACGGGTATAGTGCTCCTCAGCACTAGCATGTTCTTGCTTGGGTACCTTGTCTAAATATTAGAGCCAAATGCACCATTGATGCAACTCCTTGGGCTCCCCACACCTACATCCAGAGGTGCCAGGTATCCAGGAGGCTTCTAGTTTGGATAGGAAGCTCTCAAATTGCATGTTGAAGGTGCTTACCATTGCATTGCATCTTCCATACCCCTTTTTTTCCTATTAAATCCACTGCTGGCTGTCTCTTGCTAGGCCGTCCTAAGGGCAAACACAGAGCCGTGGAGCCCAGGGCTGCTCTCAGGAGGAACTTAGTAAAAGCTGCTGGGCGTCCTTCGTGCTCGGGTAGGCTTGGCAAAAGCAGCGTGTTCCTCCTCTGCAAGTCCTGTTCTCTCAGTGATGCCGGGTAGATCGCCCTGTCTCGAGGAGAGTACTTTGCTCGGAAGGGCGCGTTGCCCGTCCGCAGGCTCTGGGTGCTGGCATGGGGCGAGTGGCGCACGCGGGGGCCGCGCGCGCTGCGAGGGCAGAGCGGGGCCCCGCTCCCTGGGCACGGCGCGTCCTGCTCGGGCTCGCCTGGCCCACGCAGCCCGTCCTTCCCGCGGGATCGCCGCGCTCAGCGTGGGGAGCCGGGCTCCAGGTGCCGGCTCCGCGTCCGAGGCTGATTCTTCAGCAGAGCCAAGCCGGGGCAGCTCCCCCCCGGGGCTGCTGGTAGGAGGCTGCAGTAAAAAATTATGAGCCTTAAGTGGGGCCAGCCCGTGTCATAAAACTGTCACTGCTAATGGAGATCTCCGGTTAGAGTGGCTTAGCTCCCCTCTATGCACAATGGCTGGAAGAGCCAGAGCTGAATGCAGAGGAGCATGAAATATATTATGGTAAAGTCAGAAAACTCACTTTCCGAGCAGAGCACTGTGTGTTTTCCCACATTTCCAGCTGGACCCCTCCAAGCAGTTTGTGCCTAAGAGGAGATCATGTGATTCCTCCGCCCCCACATAGTAGTCAGGGCAAAGTGCGTGGTAAAAGGACAAAATACCGTGATAAATCATAAATATTAGTGCCTGACTCCTCGCCAGTCACAGGCAGCAATCACAGAGAAACCATCTTAGCCATTAATCTATTCGTGCAAGGAACATCTGGCAAAACAGCTTTTAGTGTCACCCACACTCGTTTTTGTCCCTGTGTCACAGTTAATGCTTGCTTAAAAGACAAGAAGAAAATGAAAAAAAAATAACTTTTTTCTTGTCTAATTTGTTGGCTGCATTTTCTGGGGTCTTTTCTGCCAGCACAGCACGGAGACCAGCACAGGGTGATGGTGCCAGAGCAGGCAGGGATGGGAAAAATGGAGGAGACAGGGAATTAGCTTCCCCCCCAAGCTTAGCCTTCATTCTGCGTTGTGATTAATTGCAGCGAGTGCTCATCTGTAATTTTGGAGAACAATCAGATGACGTGCCTTGTGGTAGACTTAATTGAAACCTGATGAGCCATCTCGAGCCCGCTTTGCGCTGGGGAAGGCTGTGCTGGAGCTGTCCCCGCTCCCTGCCGCCGCCAGGCCCGGAATGGCTTCCCGGAGCTGTCCCTGGGCACTGCCGGCCCCTCTCCCTGCTGGCTGAGGTTGTGCAGGATCCCGGGTTTGGTGCCCGGGTCCGAGTTGTCCCCAGGCAGGGCAGGATGCGGGATTTCAGCGGCTGAGTATGGAGCACGCGGGAAGCCTGGGCTTAGCTGAGGGGGAGTTGGACGTGGGGCACTTGGGATGCCGGTCTCGTTCCCCCTTCAGAAATCCTTTGTTCTGCCTATTTGTCTGCTTGAACGGTGCTAGCAATTTCTGAGGCAGTTAGGAGGGCTGAGGGAAATTGCTTTCAGGTCAAGACCTGCTTTAGCCTGTAGTGAATTACTACGCCTGAGTTTTAAATCTTTGCAAACAGAGGATTATGGTGGTGGTAAATACTAGGGTAGGCCTGGGAACTGCCCTGCTGCAGGATGGACTGAATGCAGCTTTCCCTTCAGGAGATACAGAATGATAGAGGCCAAAAAAATAAATTGAGATATAGCTTTGGTTATAGCTCAGATAATATTTATTCTTGATTTGTATTTCAGCTTAAAAACTTCACAGGCTAAGCAGTGTATTTCTAGCTGAACCTCATAGAGCTTTTTTCCCTTTTAAATGAGGGCAGTACATTAGATATGACCATTTGCTGAGAGCCCTGGATTAGTGCAGGATTTTCAAAAAATTTGGAGCTGCTGTGCAGCCTTGTGTTTGGCTGAAACACAAACGTGAAGTGATAAATGCATTTGAAATGGAAAAGTTACATTCCTGCACTGAAAGATAGCTCTGTGTGCCTGGTTGCTCTCATCATCTCCGGATCTCCAGTCCTGACAGTTGCTTTTGAGTTTGGAAAGAAAAAAAGAAAAGGCTTCTTCCTGTTTGCAGCATAATGGTGACAGCAAGCGCCAAACACCACGAGGCGCAGAGAGGAGAGCGTGGGGATGCGAGCTGGGGACTGCAGCGAGGGCGCCGCCGGGGCAGCGGGGAGAGCCGGGAGCGGAGCCGAGAGCTGCCGGGCTCTCCCGGGGCGCCGCCGGCCCGGGCTGGGCACGCGGGTGTCCGCGGGGCCGGCATCGAGTCGGGGCAGAGCAGCCGGGCACCCCCGTGGGGCCGGCCAGGCCCTTTCTGGACGCCCCGCGCTCCGGCCAGGAGCGATGCCCAGAGGAATACCCTCAGGAGGGTGCATTCATCCTTCCATCTGGAAATGCCTGGAAGTGGGAAGGATGAGGCCTTGTTTGCTAATTGCTATGAAAACAGTGTTAGAGGGAAGCTGAAATGCCCGTGCAGCCTGCAGTAAGCTGCAGCAGCCCCTGTCCGCAGCAAGTGGGACTGAAGCAGGTTGACAGTCGTCTTAATCCAATTAGCGCCGAGTGCTAAGCATCCCAGCCAATTTGCTCCTGGCTTTTGTAATGCACATAAATAGCTGTGGCATTACATAAGACCGTGGCCACTGCAGGCTGCCTGGCTTAGCTGCCGATCTGTGAACGACCTGCTCGAGGCTGCTGAGCAGGGCTGCGGCGCCGCCGCCCGCAGCGCGCTCCCAAAGCCGCCCCGGCGCTCCAGAGAGCCCCGTCTCTCCCAGGCTCTCCCAAACGGCCTCGTGCTGCAGAGGAGGCTGCGGAAAGCTGGCAGGAGCTGGGTGGCCATGGCCGGGTGGACGTGGCCAGTCCTTGCTCTGTCTCCTCCTGCTCTAATGAGCTGCCTGGCTCCCTGCATTTCTCCCTGCTGGGGCTGTCTCGCAATGGCAAACGGGTTAGAGGGCCCTTCACTGTCACCGCCCGTCTGCCCGGGGGCCGTGACAGCAGTGAGGAAGGGCAAGGAACTGGCCACACTGGAACCAGCTCCACAGGACTTCGAGCGGCAACACCGGCAAAGGGAGCAAGGGCCAGAAAAGCCCTGAATTCCTTCCTGACTTCCCATGTCTTGGGTCATTTTGTAGCTGAGCAGAGGGGCACTCTGTGCAATGGTCCCAAGACCCTCGTGGGCACAGGACTGCCCTCAGAAATGACACCGTGCAGCCTCCTCGCGCTCTGGTTTTCTCACTGCAAGCAGAAGATGTTCCAGTGTCTACAGACCCTGCTCGTCTCCAGCAGAATATTGTCAGGAATAATAAAGTTTTCAGGCTGTCAGCAGTTTTGTGCATGCACAGTGTTGTAATTCTGCCCTTGGGGAAGCCTGTGTCAGGCCACTGGAAACTAATGAGCTTGTGAAGGTGTTATTGAGGGTGTAAGGTGGTTACTGAATTGCTGCTGTTGTCCACAGTGGGCATTACTCTATTTGATGCTTAGAGCTAGGGACGGTAGCACAAGCTGGAGCTGGAAGCCCTTGTTGAACAAGTAGCTTTTCCAAGAAGTGCAGAGCAGCAGCTGAATGTGGGATTTGTGTGGCTCTTTCTGCAGAATAAGGAAAAAGTCCTGTTGTGGAGCTGAGCTGGTGCTATTTATTGCTTTTCTGGCTGGTATAGAAAGCCAGTCTTCTGACCGGTGGAGGGGTTTGATAGGAACAAAAGGTTACCAGATTAGTTTCTGATGTAAATCATGCCTAAAATGTAGTGTGGTAAGTGCTGTCATGATGGTTGAAGGTTGGTAGCTTTATACAGGGCTTGCCACAGGAATGGTTCGGCCCTGGATGGGCTCAGAATCTTGCCCATGGTTTGGTTGGGCCCAAGCCTCACTGGGTGTAAGTCATCGCATCCCTGTTGGTATTTACTGAGTAAAGCTTTGTTTCTTTTTTTGTCATTTCAGAAATAACACGAATCATCCAGGTAGACTTGGACCTGAAATACAAAGCCAACATCCGAGACCTGTTTGAGGAGTTTGACAACTTCAAGGAAGGAGCTGTGATTGGGATTGCCAGGGAAATGCAACCGGTGTACAGGTACAGCAGCCTGCCCAGGGCAGGAGCACGGGGTAAAGGGAATGGGCAGCCGTTGGCTTTTATATTTTCTGTTCAACTCATTCAGCCTTTGGAACAAAATCTGCAGAGAAAGAATCTATCAATCCCAGCAAAAGATTTAATCAGAGTCTCCTAGGCAGATATGAACTAACCGTACACTGTCACCATCATTTCCCTGATTTCTCACATCCTGTCAAGGCTTTCAGAATTGAGTTTCTGATAATCAGTGCCCAAATTCCTGCCTAGGCTCACAGAATACCTGTTAGAGGAGGTTTTCCCTAACCATTTCTGTTTAGATGCTCTAAGTGAATTTTGGAGTTTTACTTTGTACATCAAGGTCCAGAGTTTTGGGCCCTGAATACTGCTGGTCTGTCCAACGAGTAGCAGTATTTCCTTTTCCAGGTGGACCTGGGACCAGTGCGTTTCAGATGTGCTTGTGCATTCTGTGATGCTGGCAGAGATCAGAGTGCAGACAGGCGGCAGTCACAGCCTGAGGACTAGCTCTGAGCAGTGTCGTTAGTTGCTTTACATCCTGCTATTTAGCTTTTCTCTTTGTTTTGCTTTCCTCCAGCGTTCCCCCCAGAACAAACTGGGGAATCACACTGTCAGGAGACTTACGCAGATCACAGTCTGCCTTCTCCAGCCATGAGCTTTACTGCAGGGAATCTGAACCACATCCTGTGCAAATGCAAGATCTTCTGGGGAATGCCATGACTGCAAGAGAGAGGCTCTTTTGTTGGTGGCATTTGGTGGTTTCTCCATTTCTATTAGGCAGAGAATACATTTGAGTTTGATAATGAGGCACAGCACAGAGGCATGGAGTGTGCACCTGGGGTGTCTCCTCACACACAGGGTGATGCTGCTCCTGTCCTTCAGCTGCTTGTGTCAGCAGTGGTGTTGGGGTCCTGTTCTCAGCTGCAGTGGACCCTTTGCTGAGGAGGTATTCATACAGAGAAGTCTACTTGGGTAAAACTCTTGATGACCTGGGCTTGCAAGCATGCAGATAGTCTCATGGTCTGCTGTGCAGATGTTCTGGTCTCTCCCGAAGCTGGTGGTGACTTTGAGACTTCATCACTCACAGAGAAGAGCCTCAGCCTCTCAGAAGCAGCAGCCAAATGTGGCAAAGTTATTTCCCGAGTTCCTAGTGCTCTGAAGCTGCAAAGTGCTGCTCTGTCATTCGTGAGCAGTGCTGTAACTATCTGGCAGAAACAGGGCTGACTGACATTTTTGAACGTGCTCGCCGTGGATTTGTTCCAGCTGTGCTTAAGGGTTCAGTTAGTGCTTTTTGTGCTGGTGTGAAACGTGCACTAGAGAAAATGCCAGCTGGGCAGTCTGGAGGGAAACTGGACAAAGATATTTGATGGAGTCAGCGAGAGGTGAAGGGGCTCTCTTAAGGTGTCTGGTACTGCTGATATCCTGCATGGCCCCATGTGCTTCCTCATTTCTCATACAGCTTTCTGCCACGCGGCTGGTCTCAGTGGAAGTGGGCTCCAGCTCTGATTTTTCGGACAGCAGATGAGATGAGATGTCTCCACGGTAGCTTGTTCTTTGCACACTTGATGCATCGGCCAGCAGTAACTGTGGTGGTAGCGGGTGGCATGGCTCCAGAGCTCACAGGGCTCCAGAGCAGAGCAGCTCCAGGTTCCTCGGGCTGAGCTGCGCCCAAAGGAGGCAGCCTGGGGATGTCACTGTGTGGTTGCTGCACCAGTCTCTGCACAGTGTGCGCCGCCGTGGGACACAGGCTGCCAGCCAGAGCCTCGCGCACAGGAGGGATAGTCCTGAGAAAAGTCTGGTGGGCACTGGGTCAGGGACCAGATGAAAAGGAGCTGGATCCCTGCTTAGCAGCAGGGGCACCCGGCACTGGGTGAGTGCTTGGCAGCCCGGTCACTGCTGGGGCTAGCAGTGACTTCAGCCCAAGTGCAGTCACGAGGCTGAGCTGCGTCCGGAGCTCTCATGCCCAAAGGAAGAAACACACGTGTCCAGTGCAAAGAAGTTGTTTCCTAGTGCTTCTCCAGAGGTGGGGCACCACTCGGCCTCTAGCTGCGACGGCCAAACAGCCTCGCTCCCAAGCCTTGTCTTAGTGCACTCTTTGGTGATGAAAACAGGGTTTGTTTCATGCCAAGCTGGTGGTGCCATTTAGGAAAATCCACCATCTCCTTTGGTCCAGATGTGAGCTGCGTCGGTTCCTGACAGCCGTGCAGGCTCAGCATCCTCGAGCCACACCAGACTGGCCAGGAAAGGGCGTCCCTGTCTCCTGTTCTGTTCCCCATGTGCCACTTGCCTATGGGCAACACAGTTGGGCTAAATTAGGGGAAAGGGTGAACGCAGAGTTCAGACGTCACTGGAGGTTGTGATCCCTTGGCCAGTGGGGCTGGAAATAGGCTCATATTTGGCAGGTGCTGTGTTAAGTGGGATCAGATATTTCCAGATCAGTACTTACAGAAATTGATTTAACTTATCCTGTCTTGTTTAAAGGATGAACCTTAATTTTCATTTTAATTATTGGTGAGTCAGATCACCAGCTCAGGATGCCTTAAGGAGTTCTCAGCTGAGCTGAGCGTCTGAAATAGCTTGACTGCATTCGCTAATCCTAGCGGAAATGTTCTCGGGGAAAGATTAAAAAAGCTCAATAACTCTACGTGTCTTGTCTTTTCCTCCTGGGCGGCTCTAGCAGCAGGATCGATACCTGCATCTCCTGGCTCCCCAGGCAGAGGCTGCGTTGGCCCCGGGCTCTGCTGGAGCGCGGCGAGTGCAGCATGGGGCAGCCTGCCCGCAGAGAGCACCCAAGGGAGTCAGGGTGGGCACCAAGAGGGCCCTGCTCCAGCAGAGCAGCCACAGGAAAGCAGCCACGTGGGCGCTCTCCAAAGGGTTGTCTGCAACCAGCAGAGCTGCCTGGGATGAGAAGCTGGAGAGCAGGGAGGGTGGTCCTGCTGACCCTGTGGGGATTGGGCCCCATGCAGCCATTCCTAGAGGTCCTTGGAGGGAAGGGGATGTCCCTGGGGAGCAGGGCCGGGCACACAGGGGACGTGGTTCTGTGCTACCCACAGAAGGCAGCAACTGTGGTCATGAGTGTGTGCAGGGACCCCGAACACACAGGGAGAGGGACCCTGGCTGGTTGCAGCTGCTGTCAGCCAGGAGAGCGAGCGTGGGGCAGAGTTGGCAGTGCCCTCCGTGCAAGCATGGAGGTGGGCAAGGTGCCCCCTGCTCCCCGTGCTGGGAGAGTGGTGCTGCTCTGGACACTTGTCCCGTCATCTGTGAGGTCTTCTCTGCCTGTCTCCTGTGGATGTTTGTTCCTGGTGCCTAGGTACAGACCAGAAATAACCCATGTAGATTGCCAGGATGAGTTGCTAGATTCTAGACAACATGTTTTTCTTGAGATTTGAGCAGGTATGCATCTTGCTGTGTGTCCTCCCTGTATCGATGTGGTATTGATTATACAGACCCTGGAAGCCCTGGGAGAGCAGGTCCCGAGCCGAGACCGAGCGACCCGTGTTTGCGGTGGGCGCTGCCGTCCCGGGAAGGAAGGCAGCCCGGCCAGCCGCAGCAGTGACATTCAGGTGACCTCCCGCAGGGTCACGCCCAGGCAGGGCTAGGGATAATGAATCACACTTCCCAGAGAAAAGGATTTTGGAATTTCCGCTTTCCTTCATAGTTACATGTACAAAAACACAAATCGTCAATGCAGAAGGACAGAGCTTGCCAGAGCGTGCATTTTTCTTCATCCTCCATCTGTTACAGTGACATGTCAGTGATAGCAGGTTTGCTCACAAATATGACTTTGTTTTATATGTAATTTATAAATGGAGCTCAAGCTTCAAGGCATCTCTCCTCTCAGAGCTGTGACTTTAGAGCAAATCATACAGCACCGTTTTTAGAATATGAGTCTCGTCCTAACGTCTCTAGTCGGAGAGCCCAGCTCAGCTGCCGAGTCCCTCCCGCACTGTCATTAATCACCACTGATCATTTCCTAGAATCCTGAGCCAAATGTGAACACGCTCACGAGAGCATTTCTGGCTGTGCATGCAGCAGAAATCACCGCTGTTCCTGGGCTGGAAAGAGACATCTCCGTGGCTGTGGTGACGGTGTCATTCTCTGCTCTGGTTTGTGGGCTGGCAGGGCGAGCTGGGCTCGAGGGAGCCCAGATGCTGACTCTCTTCTCTGTAGGGTGATGCTGCGCTCGGAGCATGAAGTGCTGCTGTATCCGCTTTGGGTGTCCTGGCAGGATTTCAGCGCCCAGAATGGTAAATCCAGCCCCACTTAATCACGTCCAATTGTTAGAGCTTAAAGTAAACTACAGGGAATAGCTACTGCTAAGCACAGTGGCATGGCTGGCCCGACTGTTGAGGCTAAATTGGTGTTGTCCAGCGAGGCAGATCCCTTTTTTAGCAGTGCAGTCAGCAGAGTTAAGTGAGCGGGATAGATTATACGTTTGGTTGCCTGAATTAGTCCAAGGAGGGCTGACTCTGTATTCCTGTCCCCGAAGGGATCTGCTTTGCATTGCTTTGGCACAGAGCTAGAGAGTGGAGGCGGTTGCCAACTCTCTGGCTGTGGTTTGTGGGACAGGGCATGCCTGGAGGTGACCGCAGTGACCTTGGGGTGCTCAGCTGCGCAGGGGATTGCCAGCCTCCTTGTCCAGAGCACAAGGCTGAACTCTGTTGTCCAGTGAGTATCTGTGGCCTGAACTGAGCTCCTTCTCCCCGACCTCCTGCTGCAGGTGGTGGGTACAAACAAGCCTAGTAAAAACAGTCTCTACATGCGGCGTTCCTTGGTTGAACTTTTTGTTGTTGAAATTTTGACCTTCTGTGTCAGTATGGGCTGTGTTATGTTTTTTTGGTGTGCTGCTTTTGTCTTCATTTGAAAGCACATGCCTAGTGTTTCTTGTCATCAAGTCACTCGGCATGGAAGGAGCCTTGTGTGAGCATAGCATCTCCCTCCTGCTCAATGTCCATGTTGTTAGACTTGCACTTCTTTTTTAAAAGAGC